AAGAAAGTCAATGCATCAGATTTTTCCAAAGCAGATGCAAAGGTTTCCCATCGAGCAGTCAATTCGAAAGAAGGAATCTCAGAATCAAATAGCCTTGCCTCATCCTCAATCATCACAAAGGACCACCAGTGTCCTTGACATTCTCCAGAACGTTCATGACAAAGGAAGGATCGGGTGCGCTGGGACAACGGAGAGCAACTCATCCTTGGAGATGCAATGCAATTGCCAAGCAGTGTCGGCTGCAGAGTCTGCATCTGCCAAAGCTTCATTGAATTGATGAGCGGAAAGCGAGGACTCTGGCTTGTCTTGCAAAACTTGGCGCCAACTACTGAGATCAACATGAGGTGCAACACCTTGAACAGCAAAGAGCAAACAGTTTGCCGGAGTGGAAGGAATTTCGACTTCCATCATGTTCACGATGTTCTTGCACACCAACATATGCAAGAAAGTCTTCATACTTTGCGGCTCACTTTTGATCTCGACGGGGATGATGTTGTGGGAAGTTTCTGCGCAAGCACGATGCAACCAAAAGAGATCTTGCACAAATGTGCACGACACAATGCCTCCGTCAAAGAGAGCAACCTCCATTTTCACATGCGCATGGGTCCGAATGGTGTCCAATAGGTCAGCTTCATCGAATGATAGCAAAGAACAAAGCCGACTGAATTCAGGATGTCTGCGATCATTGTACAAATCAGAAAGATGAGTATGTCTGTGATCTTGTAGAATCAGATGAGCAGCTGCCTGAACTTCTTCCCCAAGCTTGCGGAGCCATGGAATATCGAAACGCGGGTTGCCACCGTAGAAGATGCGGATAAGTTCCTTTTTTGCCCCCTGGACATCAACGCAAAGATACTGAGCCAAAACTGACCGCCATGACTTGTAGTTCTCACAGAAGAGACGAAGCATCTGGAAACTACCTGCCTCGTCCAATCCCATATCTCGAAGTTTTCGCAAGAGAAGACAAGGATGGCAACAAGCTGCATCAATCTCAATGGCATGGGGGAAGGCTTTTCCACGAGCTTCTCGAGTGAGTTTTTGTGCAGCAGGGCCACGAGCAAGTAAACGACCATAATTGGGGGCCTTGTAGTACTCGACAGAGATAGTAGAAAAGCGCCCCACGCGAACTCCTTCAGAAGCATGACGATCAACATAGGCCCGAAGCTGCGAAGTCCTTCTGTCTGAGCCACTTTCCAAGTAGGCTTGCAAAGCCTCCAAGTCCACTGTTTCCTGCAATGTTGCTACAGTCGGCCGGATTTGAGATGAGAGACTTCCGTGATGAGTGACATTTCCTTGAAATTCATTTTGCAAGTCCACAAAGAGATTTGACTCCCATTCTTGCTGCAGATGCCGCAGATCAAAGGTGCAGCCCCAATCTTTCCACTGACCGAAAGCAAGCGCACCACCATGAGCATCCATAGCTGCAGCCAAAGAAGCCCAATCCACCAAGAGTTTCTCGAAAGCATGCTGATCATGTTGACGAAAGAGTTTGATGGTGGAGTGGTCCAAGGCAGAAAGAAAGAACTGCAACTTGGTTCGTCGACCACGGGTAGACTGCACAGCTCCTGGAATATCTTCAACCTTTGAAATGAGATACTCCTTGATGAATGTCTTCATGGGCGTTTTCCGATGCACGATCGTGATCAATTCGTCGTTGTCTGGAGGTCAATGTCTGTGCCTGGAGGAGGGCCATTCCAGCCGGACAAGCGAGAAGCCAACCAATTGGTGTCGTTGACCAAGTCCTCATGTACATGGCTAAGATCCAGGATCATTTTCAAACATTCATCCAAAGAGTTTTCCTGAAAGAAGGGCAAGCACCAATCTCGAAAGAAACATGAAGCCGTTGCAGGATGTGTCAAGAAAGGGACCAGCTCATCTTGCGGAATGAGACGGAAAACCCCGTGTTCATAGTTCACTGCATGGTCGTCAAGCACGAAGCGAGCCTTCCCCATACGAAAGCAAACGATGCGACGCTTGAGATGCTCACAAGCCTGGAGTCGATCTCGACACTCCTCGATGGTCGGGATGTTCTCAAAGTTGAGTTCCTGAACTTTCATAGATGACCCAAATCATCGTTTGGATGTAAATCCATAATTGACACGACAATCTATTTCTTCATCGACGATGAATCTTTTCCAAAGATCTGCAACGAATCTTGCGTGCTGATCCATTTCCTGGATACGCACATTCGCCTTGTTCCATGCGAACTCGGCAGACTTGCGGAACTCCTGTCGATCCAAGAACACGCCACAATCCAAAGTTGCAGATTGATCTTCACCTAATACAGCACGATCAAGATAAGCTTCCATCCCCTTGCCATCGCCGCCTTTGCCAATCTCGAAGATCATCTTTGAAGTGCAAGCCTTTTTGAATGCGGCATGTAAAAAACAAAGTTTCACTTGAAAGATATGTTCGTTTTGAAAGTAGAGCGACTCCAAGAACAAACGCAATCCTTCTTGATGCTGTTGGAGATTGATGTTCGGATACTCCTGCAAGAGGTTTTCTATGTAGAAGGCATAGTCCACATGCATGTAGCAGTCATTGGACGGGCTTTTGCTTGCAGGTTTCCAATCTGCATCCAAGTACACGTCTCTGAAGCAAACACCCTGTGACTTTGGCAATGGAGTATCCCATTCAAGAAGAAAAAGCTTTGAGAGTGACTGGACCTTGTTCGAATCCCAATTCACTCGGAATGAAGCTAGCATGTCTGCACATCGACGAAGACAAAGTGCTTTCCATGCCTTGTTGGATGTGACTTGCCGCGGATGGTCACTTGCTTCTTTGGCCACATTCCCGAAGAAATGGAGAGCGTCATGGACATGTCCTTGGATCGTATTAGAGACAACATCCCGAATAGCATTCCAATTCCATGCTGGTCTTGCATCTCCTTCTTGATCTTCGAAGTGCTTCGAGACGGTCAACAACAAACCTTCAACAGCAAGAAATAGATCCCAGACTTCGATGGTGAGAGACGGCTTCATCTTCCACACACCATTCTCATAGTAGAACATTTGACGATCATGTGCACGCCAGTGTTCACCATCAACAAGCATAATGAGAAGAAGCTTCTGCTTCGTCGACATTTGGTAGTTGGAAACATTCATGGATGCGATGCAGTTCATGAGCTCCATCATTGTGCGAACATGGACAGGAAGATTTGGATAATTGTTGCTACCCCATGTGCGATAGTTCTTCCATACATCCAAGAGTGATTTGGCTTGTTCAGGTCGAACATCAGGAGGAGGAGGAGCGAGATGGGCAGAGCGCTGCACATCGGAAAACGCACGGAACCTGAAAGAAAAGCAGGAGACAACTCAAGTCTATGAAGCGGTATGCCACAGCCATATGAACAACATGAAATACGAAACTGTATGGCTAGAGAAATCCGAATACTGGAAAGCTGGAAACATACGTCCGAGAAACAGATCACGACCACGTAGACGCTTCGCAGGAGGCGCATCGATTTCGGGCGGTTGCACTTCGGGCGATGAGGCTTGGAGATGTGCTCCATCCGGATAGTCGGCGTCCATCGCCATCTCGATCTCTTGAGTCAACCCCACTGACTCAGACATGAGCAACGATGGACGCACAAAAGACAAAACTTAGGAAGTTCGTGAGCTGGTCAGGCGTGCTGCGGGAGAGTAAACATATGAAACACAAACATGATCGACGAGACTGTCGAAGTTCATGCGCACATAAGTAATATGCGGACCAATACTTGACAGGCAAAGATGAATGCTGACAGTCGAGAACACTCGAAAGACAACATCTAACACAAATCAAAAATGCGGCTGCCAATGTTGACATGCAATGATGAATGCAGAGTTTCGAGAATGTTTGGAAGACAACATGCAACGCAAGACAGAGTGCACGTAATTTCTTTTCCGACCATCCAAGTCCAATCGCTAGCACGGAGAGACATATGCTGATACGTCTTTCCATGACGTGTTCATAAATGTGGCATCACTGGAACAATCGCCCGAGACGATCAAGTCCATACTAATTGCAAGAAAAGAAGATTGGCATTGATCCATTCACTATCTGTACAGTCATCAGCGGGATCAGGTAACATCGGACGAAAACGAGCATGCTCATCGACCTCGAATGGGCAAAGTCGACGAACGATGCGGTGAAGATCTTGCCGACGGCCTTCTTCGTCACAGACTTGGATGGAACGTAACAGCTCTCTGGCTCGTTGCATTTGTCGTTCCCAGATGTTCTTTGGCACGATGTCATCGACGCGAGGGATGAAAGGTTGAACATTGGCATAGCGCAGAATGATCTCGTCATATTTCCGCACCATCCCATCTCGCGCCATTGTCCTCTTCATGGAACGCTGGGTATCGGAAAGCATAGGAGGTGGTCCAGAGGCCATTGCTTCGAAGAATCTTTTACACAAGTTTATAGAGCGAGCGATATGCAGAGCCAGACTGCACATGAGAAAGCACAGTCAGAATCAACAAACAGCATGAGTGGATGCTGGCAGTGTGACAAGCGATCCGGAATTTGTTGCAGCTGAACTACAGATTAGAAGTATCGTGAATATAATTCTATTTATTGGCGTTTTATAGATATTGTTATTTAATTTTTTTTGACCTTTTGCAGAATATGGATCGTGATCCTTATTTGGTTGAACATTCAAGTATGATTGCATGCATGATGGCCCAGGGAGCCAACTAGAGACAAATGACTTTTCTAGCAGACAAGATACCCTAGAGAGTTGCCAAGAGACAGATGCACGTGTAACGGACAAGGATGAGGCTGAAGACTCAATGGCTTAAAGAGCCTCCAAGGTACAGACGAGTGTGCAGCAAACATGATAGCCCAGAGAGTTATCTGGAGACAGACAACATTGTAATAGACAAAATAGCCCAGAGAGGCACCTAGAGACAGATGACATTGCTTGAGGCAAGATAGCCCAGAGAGCCATCCAGATTTTTTATCATCTTATTCTTCGTGTTCCCTTTATACCTGTTCTCCTTTTGTTTTCTTGTCAAGGCCATGGGATATCGAAGCAATGGAGGGGATCCCAGTCTGCTTACTATGGGGCAGAGACCAATCAAACAGAATAGGAGACAGGACAGTGTCTCCCTAGATGGGCTATCTTGGTGGCTCTAGGTGGCTCTCTGGGCCATCTTGCCTGCTACAGCCTCGTATGGTATTCTTATGGGATTTCCAGTGGGTTCTTATGGGATTTCTATGGTATGTCTATGATATTTCTATGGAATTCCTATGAGATGTCTGAGGGAAATCTATGATATTCTTATGGGATTTCTTTGTGGTACCTATACTAATTCTATGTTATATCTATGATATTTTCAGATGATTCCTCCCCTCCCCTAGCTGGGCTATCTTGGTGGCTCTAGGTGGCTCTCTGGGCCATGTTATCTGCTACAGTCTCATATGTTATTCTTATATGATTTCCACTGGGTTCTTATGGGATTTCTATGGTATGTCTACCTTGTTAGTTTATACGCCTGTCCGTTGCGTTTGCAAACACTCTTCAAAGCAAATTATCAGGACGCATCAGGTAAGCATATGAGATATCCACAGAAACAAGAAAAATAGCAAGAAACAAGAACAAGAACAGAACACAAATGTAAGAAGCTCCACGACAAGAAAATAATATATCTGGGTTTGCTCTATAGGCCGTCTTGGGAGAGGTAAAGGGGGGGGTCAGCCCCCAATGTTTTTTTTGTTTTTTTTTCGTTTGTTTTCTGTGTGGCTCTTTCTTTCCTGTGAATTAGAAATATAATCAGAGTCAGGTGTTCCTCAAGTCTGCTTGTTAGTGACACTACAGATTCATAAGCATGAATTCCGTAGACGTAACATTTTTCCTAACAAAGATTCATATGTAATCTGTCACGTCGTCTGTCCAGACATGTGGAAACGTGGGAACTGAGAAACGTGGGGGCTGAGAAACGTGGGGACTGAGAGCGTCCCTTTCTGTATTGTTAGGTAGTGATCCTATAGCCATTTATGAATCTGGCAGGGAGATCCACCAACAAAATAAAGGCGAATTGCAGGTATTTGTTCGGTATTATTGGGATTATGTATCAAGGAAAATAGGGTACCAAGCAATACTCTGATTTAACATAGCTACGGAAAAGAAGCCTTTTTGAGAGGTAAATCAATCAGGTAAATCATGCAATGTGGGGCCCAAGATAGCTAAGCCGGCTTAGTTCACTCCAATTTCACTATGGCTTATAGGTGAAACCAAACAAACGTTTAACGGGACTGGGGACCCAAGGGTTGCCGATTCTATCCCTGTGATAGCTGGTACAATATGGGGCCCTTAAGATGGCTAAGTTGGTGTAGTTCACTCCAATCACTTCCAATCACTCGGGTTTATCGGGGATACCCTCTGGTAAACAAACATAGCTATTGAAAATGGCCATGTATAGATAATTTACCCATTAAAAATGGTGATTTTCCATAGTTATGTTAGTTTACCACAGGGTATATCGATAGTTAGATAGGGTTAAGAATCAACTTATAACTAGGGTGCCCGCCCCACTATGTACCAAATTACCACATCTTCAGCATCGTTTCCCAAACTGCTCATGGAATGTCCACCAATAAAAATAACTCCTCATTATATCCTTCACTAAACTTGTTTGTACATGTATATGTATATATATATATATATATATATATATGTATGACAATATATATATATATATGTATGACAAGATATATTTATATTATATTATATATATATATTATTATTATATATATATATATATTATATTATATATATAAATTATATTATATATATAAATTATATTACATATATATCGTGTATACGGTATAGTATATAGATGTAAGTTGATGTTAATATGTATATATATATATATTATAATACTATATATATATATATTAAATATCATGATATGGTCATATATGTAATATATAAGTAACCAAATACATCCACTGTTTTTTTGAACCAACCCGCCGGCTCGCAGTTTGACGCTGCGACCAAGGTGCCGATGGTTCTCGCAGCCAATGAGTCGCACGGGCTCCGTTTCTCCGTAGGCGCAGATGGACGCGATGGCCACGCGGTGCTTCGGCAGGCGGAACTCTGGCGGCGTCCTGGGGATTGATAGTGGCCCGTTTTTTTGGGCAAAACGAACATAGTGAAGTGGAGAACATGAGCAGTTCATATCATTTAATATAGCAAAAAAAACTTTTAAATGGATCATGTTCAATAGCTATATGTTAAATTACCAGGAGGTAAGTTGTTTCAGTAACAAGAGTTGAAGCAGTTATGTTCCAACTTACAAAGTGAGGCCCCCCAGTGAAGTTATGTTTGTTGGTTTAAAAACCCGGGGAATACTGCTATGGAATCATTATCATTGCCCGATTACTTTTCTTAGATACCCTCTGGTAAACGTAAACATAACTAGAATCACCATTTTTTATGGATATATCAACTATAAATGGCCATGTTCCATAGCAAACTGTTGGTTTGCCAGAGGCTATTTGAAGGCCAACATTGATCCAAGATGGAGGTTTCTCAATTTTTGGGGTATCCCCAAAATAAGGTTTGAATACTATGTTTTGGTTGGATTCATATGGAGGTTTCCATAATCGGGAATCCCCAATAGCTGGATGGTTTATAATGGAAAATCCATCTATAAATGGACAGTTTGGGGATACCATAATTTTAGGAAACCTCCACATAGTAATCATAATAAACATCCAATTTTGGATGCGATACTTAAACATAATATCAGCCAAAACCACCAAATAGATTTGCCCAATATTTGCTCCCAAATATCTGTTCATTGGACCCCCGTTGCTCTTGGATTTTCGAAACCACTAATTCACCAATCTCATTTTTTTATTGGCGGTTATATCCCCATGTTGGCTAGATTTTGCTAGCCATTTGCCTACTCACAACATCTCACAACAACTACACCATTTCTGGATTAAGCATATGTTGACATACAGATCATGTTCATCACTTCCGCAAACAAAATAGACCCCCAAAATCAAATTGTGTTCCAACAAAATATTGCCAAGATAATCACAGCGGCAATTTGGTAAACTCAATAATAAGCCATCTTCAATACCATCGGCGTTAAAAATCATCACCGAATTGGACGTATATGGCATTGCAGTTTAAACAATCATATTGGTGTAACGGGATTGCAGTAAAATACATTGAATGAGTACAATGTCTCTCATATGCGAACCATGGTGCTGGAATTTGCCCCAAAAATCACACAGTTTTGTAGGTAAATAAACCATACATGGAGCATACTGTATGTGTCTGATATAGACATGTCGATAGAGACATATCCACTTGGATAAAACGTGCAACAGAAACGGTGTGAATCCACGGCTGCTCACAATCTGACCACCACTGAAACGATCATGAGCCACTGGGAAAATCAAGAACATATAGTAATAGTATGTAATAGTAATCATCATAATAATACATGTCCATTAAGGGACCTTCACTTTACGGGTTTCAATTCAAAAAACCAGGTTATAATCATATGACCTGGATTTTGCCCATAGGGCCAGGCCGATGGTATATATATAATAGTAATCAACAATAATAGTAATTACTATGGAACAATGGCCTGGAGTCGCAAATTCAATGAGGGCGGAATATGTCGAAGCCTGTGTGATGCCTAGCGAAAAATGTTTGGTGAAAAATGTTTGGTGAAAAATCGTATAGAATCCCCTTTTCAATTCCCAGCAAACCCCCAGGACAAACCCCAAACTGGATAAAATCAGCTCCAAGGTGTGCGAGGAGTACGTCCCTATAGATGATGACTTCCCAGCAACATCCGTTGATCATGGGATGTTCCCATGATTTTCCCATTATGGCCATAAACTCCATATGTTTTCCCATCTTCCCATGTTTCAATGCTTCTAAACATCCCCAAAATTGAAATCATCCACAGAATCCCCATGGATTTTCTCATCTGAGAGGTTCCTACGTCATGGGGGTACCTCCAAATCCTCCATGTTAGTATAGGATTTCCCATTATAATATGGAGATATATGATATAGTAATCAACAATAATAGTACTTACTATGGAGAAAACCATATATATATATATATGTATAATCATTAAAATAATAATGTCAAACCATCCATTTTTGAGGATCCCCCATTTATGGAAACCTCCAAATAAGGACCTTGCAGACAGACATATGAATGGAAAACAATCGCAAAAATACCCTAGAGAATGGGGCTTCCATTTGGGGGTACCCCCATGACTCTGGAAACCTATAAATATGTATATATATATATATATATATAGGTATATGTCAATATTAACATTATTATTTTGATAATTATATATATATATATATATACACATATGTTTTATCCATAGTAATTACTATTATTGTTGATTACTATATTACATATCTCCATATTATGATGACTACTATTATTCCTATTACTATATTATGCCAATATTTTTTAAGATGACAATATTAACATTATTATGATTATGATTACTACATATATATAGGAAATATATATGATTATATCCATATATGATATATCCATATATTCATATATAGCTCTTAACATAAGTTACTTCCTATACGTCAATCTGCCAGATTCTGAAATAAATAATATTCTGAATCATTCCAAAACATTCCAAATCATAGCAAATGCATACCAAATCATTCAGGAATGACGGCCCTATGATCAGAGAAGATCTGGCACAGAAAGGCCGTAATAAAAGAGGCTTTGATCGTAAATAAACTATATCCATATATCCATAAGTTAAATATGAATATAATATATATATTTCTCCAAAGTAATTACTATTATTGTTGATTACTATATCATACATCTCCATATTATTATGATGACTACTACTATTATTGCTATATTAGGTTATTATCATGTCAGTATTTACATTATTACTATTATTATTCTTATTATTATTAGTTTTACACATATACATATATGTATATATATGGGGTTATACATTCATGGGATTATATCCCAAAAAAAAAACAGGATTTTCTCCCAAGGGTCGGCACCACGGATTCATCGTCCAATTCCCTCACTTTCGCCACCAGATTTCGACCGGCCAGGAGCATGTCCCAGCCCTGCGTGGCGCTGAAAAATCCCAGTGTTATGGTAAGTGGAAAGTTACAATAGTGGTTAATAATGGTTTTGGTATGGTTAATAAGTCTTCAGTTATGGTTAATAATTGTTAATAATGGTTTAGTTATGGTTAATAACGGATTATAATGGTTAATAATGGTTAATAATGGTTAATAATGGTTATCAATGGTTAATAATGGTTAATAATGGTTAATAATTGTTAATAATGGTTAATAATGGTTAATAATGGTTAATAATGGTTAATAATGGTTGATAATGGTCAATAATGGTTTAGTTCTGGTCAATAATGGTTTCGTTATGGTTTAGTTATGGTTAAACATTGTTTATAAATAGTTTAGTTATGGTTTTGTTATTGGCCCTTAACATAGGGAAAATCACTGGAAATGGATGGTTTTTCATGGGAAAATCATTGGAACATCATGGGGAAAACACATGTACACAACATCAAATGAACTAGAAAAGGATAAAGAAGCATGGACTACTGGTTGGTGGTCTTTAACCATCTTATCATCTTGAAAAACATGGAAGTCAATGGGAAGGATTATCCCATATATTATGGAAAATAAAACATGATTGAAACCACCAACCAGAACATTTAGCTACTCGAAGCTATTGTTTTCCACAAAAAGACATGCTTACAGTTATGGCCCTCAACAGTAATAAATCATAAATGGGATGATAACTCCAACTGAGATGACACATACATGAGGTTTTTGGAGCCAGCTATAACATGATATAACTAGCTAGAGGCCTTTGACAGGGATTCTTCACTACCAATTTGGTAAACAACTCCATTGATTTCTGGTGGGCTCTATCCCCAAATCCATCCGTTTACCGTGTGCACCGTGATACCCCCAATTCTAGGTCCAACTCTCCCCACTTGCGTTGCGCAGTTGCGCACCGCGCCTGCACTGGCCACGGCGTGCATTCCTAACAAACTGCAGTTTTCTGTTTGGAAATGCCATGTTCGGAAACCATGCTCTGCAGGGGAACCAGCCCATGACATGTCAACTTCACCATGTGCAATCCAGGCTTCGTTGAAACCTTTGTCTCTGATGAAGATGAAGCCCATGTGAATGAAAGCCTGGAACGGATAGGGGAAACGAAACACGTTAAAAAATTGACCAGGGAGCAAACAGGCCGGAACACAGTTTCAACAGTCATGGCTCTAAACCAGAGCAGAATAAATGGACATATTCAGGTGAAGGTCAGACATGGTCATACAGATGGACAATCAAAAGCGGCCAAGCGTATGTGGGTCATAGAAAAGACGGTGCGAGTCAATCCGCACGCGGCTGCTGACAGCTGCAGCAACAAAGAGAAATAACGGATAGGTACAGTGGAACATGTGCATGCAATAAATCTGGACAAAAGCATGCGTTCCTTGGAAAAAATGGGGAAATCACCACCCGGAATACAACTACAAGGGAAAATCCTCGTCGAGACCCCCGCCGCTGTTAATGGACATATCATTCCATAAATGGAGTTATAACTCATTTATAGCTGGTAAAGGGATAAGCGGATTCACATCTTTGCCCATACTAAACTGTTTGAGTCAAAGCCATGATGACCCGGCCAGTGCTCGACGTAGCCGCCCCTGGAAGGCAAAGTTTTGTGCCAGAGAAAAATACCTGTCGCAAATGTCGGAGGCAAACATCTGAGGAAACCCAAACATGCAAACGTGCCATGGAAGCCTCGAAATCCCTCGATCATGACTGTTTATAGTGCCGGAATGTGGATCTGCGTGGTACATCTGGGTCTCCCGTACTGTTTCCGAACAGTAACAAGCTGTTTCCGACAACGGCGCACGTGGAGGCCACTGCGAGTGGGCACTCAAAGGCGAACCAGAAGCGCCTGACGGAAGCAACATGTGAGGAGGGCTGATCCAAGATATGGTTACAGGATGGTGCCACCCCAGTTATGGCCCAACTAACAGTTATAAATATGACATATGATTCCTATAACTCGGGTTATATGTTGTATATATATATATATATCAGTATAAACCCATTTATAACTGTTAGTTGGGTAATAACTGCATGTTGGTTTATAAACCCCATGAATACTTGTTCGTCATATCTATCATAAACCATAGAAGTCAGCCACTTATAAGGCAACTGAACGCTATCCACCGGGGGCCCCATGCTGTAAGCATCTGGGCTATGAATCCGAGGTTGATATCACTCCATATGAATGTCTTTGTCGCATGACTCATCTGGGAGTGCAATTCCATCTTCCCAGTGGGTTTGTCTTACAACATATTCTACCATTACCCTCAAACATAGTTCCATGCATACCCAGTTGTATAATTACCCCCAATGTCAAAAATGGAATGTCTCCCCAGTTATATTATATATATATATGGTTTATAAACCCCTCAAAAATGCGATGTATCCCCAGTATTCCCCAGTTATATATGGCTTATAAAATGTTATAAACCGCTTGCACGAAAAAAGCCCTTAGCAGTTATAACTGGCCTATAACCAACCACTTGCAGATGCGAGAGTTCATCGGCCAGAGCGCCATAAGATCCTGTAGGGCCATACGTGCTACCTAAAAGGTTGATGGAAAAAATGTGATTTAATGGTGATTTATTGGTGATTTAATGGTGATTGAGTGGTGATTTAGTGGTGATTTAATGGGGTTTCATAGGATTTAATGGTGATTTATATGGGATACCCTCTGGTTGGTGGTTGAGCCCTACCCCTCTGAAAAATCATGGAGTTCGTCAGTTGGGATGATGAAATTCCCAAGATATGAAAAAATCAAAAATGTTCCAAACCAGCAACCAGATATATATTGTTATATATATATATATTGTTATATGTTGCAAAGATGAATTAATAAAAATATGATATAACCAGTACTAATTGTTATAATAACATATAATGAACAAAACCCCATAGTAATTATAACCCCAGTCATGAAATATGGTCCTATGGATAGTGGCTTGGACACCACTATGGGATCCTCTAAGGTCCCACACCTGGTCACCGCATCCAGCAACTGGAGCACGGCACTTTGGGACTGCTGCCGGTCACCCGAGAAGACAGCTGACCTGCGACATCAACGGATCGGAAAATCCATGGGATAATTAAGTGAAAGATGTCTAAACATGTCTACAGTAGGGCATTTAAATGGGAATTTAAACATATCAATATCTAAATTGGCACTATTTTTGTTTGAAAGGGAGATTTTCATGACATTTCATGATCGAACTTTTTGAAGAAACCTGGATACCACTTGAAGAAAACATAAGAACCGCCACTATACCATCTGGTTATGACTAACAGTTCACCATGGAAAGATCCAACAGTTTTAAGTTCGGTAAACCATCTGTTTCTATGGGCCATCGCTATACCATGGCGAACTGTTAAATAATCAAATGGTATGTTCCATTGGGATGTCACTGGGAAAGTCGCTATCCAAGAGTATCCCATTTGAAAACACACCTTTCACCTGTGAAAATGGGATCATTCCGAAGGTGGGCGTGCACAATATACCAGAAAAATTTCTACGCCGCCTGGTCGTTAACTGCCTTAAACAAAAACAACTCAAACTATGCGTATGGGGGGGTTCCTACACGGTGGTGCCCCAGTTCGTTAGCTAAGTTGGTGCCAATAAGTCCAATAACATCCAATAACTAGGGTTGATTAGGGGGTTATATCTACAGTATTCATGGGGATTATAACCAACGTTCACATCACTGCGGGGGCACTATCTTGGATGTCATGGGGGTACCTCACATCATCCAGTCGTCATGGACCATGACGACTCGTATTGAAACAACCCTTTTTGCGACTTGGGGACCATGACTGAAACCGAAAGCCCCGGGCCCCGTATGTCTGCACGTGTGCAGCAGCCAATACTACTACAATTACCCATAGGATCCATGTATGCTATATATGGTAACATTTACCATCAATATACCCCGAATGTTAGCATATATTATATACCATACATGGATCCTATGGGTTATAATATTAATCATTCAACACACAAGGAAACATCCAACAAACATCACAAAGATACTGAACTCATCACCTCAAAACACCGTGACCTGGTGTTTTTTTGTTACCGCCTCGCCAAATAAAGTTGTTCATGATAAAGCTGCCAATCAAAGCCATACGCCTTGGTTGTCAACATCCGGAAAAGAGAAAGCGTGAAGAGCTGCAGTTCATTTTTGGGCAACAAAAAAGGTGAGATTTATGGTTAGGGTCAAAATACCCAAAGTCATAGCTGCTTAAAGGTTTTGATCCATCCCCATATGGTCAAAAAACCCTGATTGGTACATACAATGTGAGGCCCCCCAGTTATGTTTGTTGGTTTATAAGCCCCAGTAACTATAGTTATGTGCGTACCATAAACCATAGTTATTGGACTTATTGGCACCAACTTAGCTAACGAACTGGGGCACCACCTTGTAGTAGTTTCGCAATGTTTTGCATACAGATCTTGATGTCTCGATTCCACCATGAACTGAAATGTTGAATCCTGTGAAGATTTCATAGTGAGGCCTGTACATCCCATGACGGATCCATGGTGCTGGTATTTATGCTAACATGACTGGGGTATATTGATGGGATCCATGTTACCATTAATATAGCAGCACCATGGATCCTATGGGCATTAATTGGATTTTGATGACCCCATCTGTCTATAGCCAAGTGATACTGCAATTTACTGCAAAGTAATGTCAGACATGGGGATACAATGGTGAAACAATGATGGTATTTCATGGGGATAGATCCATATGTTGACTCGATATATTCCCCATTCATCAAACCCACAGTTGTTTTTTTCGGACAAACTGTTCACCAACAAAGCGCTATCCAACGGGGGACCTCACAATTCTCACGGCCGTCATTCCCAAGCTGCTGATGGGCATTCTTCAGAAATTTCCACCAGACTGTAGTCACACCTTACGAAGCGGAGACGCTGAGGCATTTCTTACATGGCTAATCCTAAGATGACATGCAGAGAAAAGTTTCTATTTCAAGGATATTCAATCTAGCGGATGAAGATACTGTGGATGGTTGCGAAATCCTGCACGAGTTGAAAACGGTGGTTTCTCCTATTCTTTGTAGGGTTTCAACCATTCTTTTGGTGGTTTTCGTTTTTTTTTCCATCCACAATATCATTGAGCAAAGAATGTTTGGATGTCAATATCTTTGCTCAACGATCTTTGCTCAATGATATTGTGGATTGAAAAACATCAATAAGTTTTTTTGATCAAATATAATTCACCAAATTTCAAATATATTCACCAAATTTCTATAAGTTTACTCCGTTCTTCAAATACTGGATGTCAAGTTTCGTCGCCCATAAAACGAGGGGTTCTATATCACGCAAATCCACCATCCAATTACATCGCTTGGCTTTGCTTTGCTAAAAAACATATTGACACCCTATTGCAATATAGATGTGTTAATCTAAGTTGATACCCAAAAGCGCACATGATCATGATTAAAAATATCAAGCCTCTGGTCAATTCCTTTGGTTATTGATACTTCATAAACAAACGTGTCACATTTTTTTAACAAAAACAATGTGAAATGATGTCATCAATGGTTGTTTCCCCACATTTTAAAAGCCCCAGTTACGCCACTCACTGGCTCAAAAAACCAACCAGTCACTACTTGGCTTTCATCCATTGTATGGTCCCACGTGTCAACTAAGTTTACATCTTCTAGGAAGCGCCGATAGGTGGACCTTCTACAAGACAATGACGGATATATATATATATATATATAATCTTATTATTAGATGTATATAAAATATGTGTATATATATATATAACATGTATATAACATGTATATATATATATATAATATGTATATATATATATATACATCACTTCTTCAATGAGGTCAGTTAGCCAGTTGCAGTATAACTCAGTATAACTCAGTATAACTCAGTATAACTCAGTATAACTCAGTATAACTCAGTATGACTGTTACGTAAGGCCCACAACCCCAACGACCTGATGTCTTTTTTCTCCAAGGTCACTGCGCAGCCGAAGCTGATCGCTCGGCAAGGAACCTGGATGTCTCCAAACGGCTTGGATCAGGGAAAATCATCGAACGAAATGGGAATACATGGCTTTGTCTGAAAATGTCGTGTACCCCTTTTTACCCAATGGTTTTGCTGATCAGACAATCCCTATTTTTTATGGCTATTTCATTGGGAATATAGCCTATTTTCAGACAAACCCACATTGAAGATATAGTAGGATATAACAAGCAGCAATTTTTGGAAGGGAATCTGAAAAATACTACTGGGGTGATAGAGCCAATCACCAGGTGAAATGCGGCATTTTAAGGAGCCCAGGAAAAACTGCCACCGGAGGAATATCTTGAGGATATAGGATATACATGCATATACCAACAACTTTGAGACGTATAGTGTGCCTGAAAATGGAATAGAGAATGGGGTATACCCCAAGTTAAGGGCGCTTTTTGGGGGGATCATGATGAACCGATTCACCAGTGCAACCAGTGGATGGCATGTTTTTTTCTACCCGATTTTCAGTGGATTAAGGGACAATTTACAGGAAACAATGCTGTTTTGGTTCCCATGAATTAAACAAATCCATTCTCAGATGCTCCATGGTGCTGGAATATTACCTACATTTGGGTGATTTTTGGGGTAAATGTAGGTGTGCATATTCCATACATGGAGCATATGGGATTGACATTAAAAAAACATCATCGGGACAATCGGCATGAGATTTTGGCCATGAATCGGGGATTCCGTTGAACCCGGTTAAAGCAACAACAATCTGGGCATGGGGTTAACTGTAGACATAGATGGGGTTTACCGGTCTAAAAGAAACACGTTTTTTTCATGATGTACATTTTACATAGCTTGTTGGTGAAAAGGGGGTCAAGCCCTTTACAAATCAACCAACGGCTGAAAACAGCAGCTTCGGTGAACAGTCGGGTCTTCCACCTTTGGTCCCAAAAATTGACCCATGGGCAAACGAGCAGCAGTCTCTATGCTCAAATCACACTGAATCCTCAAAACCGTCTCATTGGATTGTGAGGGTAGTCCCCAAAATCACCATAAATGGTGGTATATACCATCAAACATGGGGTAGTTTATTATTGTTTTAACCACATTAATCAATCCTCAGAAAGTTCTTTAAATCAAACCGTTGACTGACCAAACCAAGGTTTACTCATGGGTCACCATTAACTCCCCCAAAAATAACGAGAACATGAAGATCGCAACATCCACACAACATCCATGCTGACACAACCTTTTCCAAGGTGTCTACAGTCTAAACAAAAAACATGTGTGGTCTATTCAGCAGCTTGCGAATCTGTGCCGCTACTGAGGACATGCTACAAGGTGCAATTCGCCAGAACTCGTCTGAACAATCAACCATTGGTTGGTGGTTTTAACAATCTTGAAAAATATTAGTCAATGGGAAGGATTATCCCATATATGATGGAAAATAAAAACATGTTTGAAACCACCAACCAGAACCAAAAAAGTATCTGCCAAGTTGCTGCACAATGAACCAGCTTAATTTCCATCGTTTCCATGGCTTCCGTGGACTCAACATGGAAGCTCAACAGCGTGTAACGGGAAGTGCATGTGCACCCTTTCCATGGCTTACCTCGGGTATCTAAAGAAAAAACTGTACATATATACATATAAGATATGAAAACCCTATACCACTGTAGTTCACAACATTATAGCTGGGATTTATGGATGCTCATCCCCATTCACACATTCTATCTATAGGTATTGAACCATAGCCATATACTGTTACCGTATTGATAGTCGCGTTCTCAGTGATCGTCGGAGATCACGGCCAGCAGCATCCCAACATTCCAAATGCAAAGGGGATAACTGGTTGGTGGTATACCTACCCCTCTGAAAATTTATAAAAGTCAATTGGGAGTATTATTCCCAATATATAGAAAAAATAAAATTCATGTTCCAAACCACCAACCAACCAGAGATAAAAAAGAGGTAACATGACCGAGTTAATCCCCATAAGTGGCTATCACTCACCTACTATTGAAGCAACCCTGACTCCGCTGTAACAGCCAAAACTTGCTAGGAAATGACTGGTTGGCGATGTGCCCCCAATTTGTACTAAAGTTCAGTGTGACAGTGATCCCATGAAAGCATTAGACGGCACAAATCAAGTAATATAATCAACGGGCGAAAAAAAAAAAAACAAAGCGATCCAAATATCTATTAAATCGTCAATACTTCCTGGAAATCCTGGTGTAGTAATATTAGCTCTGTTATGGATGGAACTTGCTAAACCAATCAATCATTTTACACTCCCCCAAGTTCCAACACACGCCCACTGTTGAGATGACTCCCCATATCTGAAACAAATACACATATAGCCACCCCAAGCGATAGAAACATGTTTCCAGGATGGTATAGATGATGTGTCTCCTGTTTTCCAGGTTTCCAACTGTTCTATCTTTGTGAGACTGGTATGGGGTCGCCATAGAAACTATACAGAAACATGGGCACATAAAAGCCGCAATCTTAAGACCCTAACTTAAAGGACGAAACTTTTGAGTCAATACCCAATTGCATAGTACTGGGAATTGAAGATATAGAAAATACTACAGGATGGGGCCCCCAAAATAGCTAAGTTGCCTTAGAAGTGGGTTAATTATGGTTTATTGTAGATATAATTCTAGTTAAGGGATATAAAAAAAGGGGTTTATAAACCAACGTTCACATCACTGGGGGTTCACCATCCAAGGATTCTGATCTCCCGCCAACCATGGAGGCTTCCTCGGTGCACGACTTGGATTGGGGTGATTTGGGCACCCAGATGACTTAGGAAACCTGAAAAATATCCCCATCCCAGAAGGAAAAAAAAACCATTCGCAGCCATTGTTATGGAATATATCCCTAACATGGGCATATTTATTAGAACATCCATATTTCCATTCTATCCCCATCATATCACATGCTTGTTTCCCCATTTGAGGGTACCTCTAAATCCATGATATAAAAGGATTTTCCCCTATAAACCATCCAGCTATTGGTGGTGCCCCATAGTTAGCTAAGTTGGTTTATAAGTCCAATAACTAGGGTTTATAGGGGTTATATCTATAGTTAATGGGGATTATAAACCAACTTATAACTGGGGGGGCCCCACCTTGCAGCTATTGGGGTACCCCCTACGGAAACCTCCATTTCTTTGCTTCCCATGAAAAAATCCTGCGACCACCAAGCCCACGCCTCTATGGGCACGCTATAGCTGGGCCTGCAACATGTGTTTCTCCAGAAATCAGGAATCATGTTGGTAAAAATTAAATAATAAACCACCCATTTGGGAATGGTTTATACCACCTATTTATGGGAATGGTTTATACCACCTATTTATGGGAACGGTTTATACCACCTATTTATGGGAACGGTTTATACCTCTCTAATGTGGTTAAAACAATGAGAATCCATCCCCAAGTTCTCCATGTTTATAGGTGGTATAAACTTACCATTCCCATTTCTGGGTGGTAAACATAACATTGGGGCTTAGCCACATTATATGATCCATACCCTCTGGTAAACTAACACAACTATGGAAAATCACCATTTTTAATGGGTAAATCAACTATAAATGGCCATGTTCAATAGTTTTTTGTAAGTTTACCAGGCCGGGTAGTTTACCAAAATGAGAGGCAACAAAAAGGGTTTTTTTTCCACCAGAAACCATCGAATCTGGGCGGACACAAGGGAACGTCCGATTTTCAAAGCCACATGAATTATTTGCCAACAAAACATACGACATACATGAAAAAACATTGAAAAACATTCTAAAAATCCTAATGTTGGACTAGATTCGAATCTGAAAAAATGATCTATTGGTATTGTTCCTATCATTGGGGGGCGAACAAAATCCTAATGTTGAAAAAAAAATCATGTCTGGAGGATAGAGCTTTGGTATTGTTTGCCCCCCACGTTGGTCACCGACTCACCGACCCATCCTGATCCACATCATTCCACCGTTTGGGTACCATCTGGCTGGACTATGTGAGGTCTTGAAATGGGAAACCAGGAACCAAAAAATACCCTCTGGTAATGACTGTTACATAGCTATTGAAAATGGCCCAGTCGAAATAGTGGATTTACCCAGCTATGAAATGGTGGATCTTTCCAGTTCGTAAACTGTAAGCGTTTACCAGGCCGGATACCCTTCAAAATCGATCATGTCGAAGGGTGGTGAAACTCACCAATGCTGCTTCGGTACACTACCGATTTCCAGTCATCTTAAAGATGGCCCCAAAGGCTAGCCAGTTAAACGGCCATGGGATCGGACTGCAACGAGTTTTGGTTAAATCACTTAGCCATGGGGTCAATAATGGTCCCATTTACAACTGTAAAGGGCTATACGGCTATAAGTGTATGCTATATATATATATATTGAAACTCAAGTGGTGTCTATTATAAGTTTAAAACCCAGTCATACAGATTCATGACTGGACTATATTGTATGCTATATAAGTAAAAATATATATAGATATTGATATATGTATATGTTGTCTGTAATAACCCATGGTTTCACACAGTTGACTGGACATGACTGGAGTTTCCAGCTAGATAGCCTCACCGGCCCAGCGGGAAGAACGCACATGTCCTGGAGAGATGTCTTTCGGATAAAGAGACGGTGATGGTCCGTCATAAACCACCCAGAAATGGGAATGGCAACCATACCGCATACCAACATGGTGAATTTGGGGATGGATTCTGATTGTTCCCCACCTGCCAGGTGAGGGTTGTTAGATTTTACCAGAGTTGTTCTCCTCCTCCTCCTCGGCTAGCTCGTCCTCCTGCTCCTCCTCCTCCGCCTCCTCCTCCAGTTTCTCCTCGACCATGTCTGCATCAACTTCCACCTCCACTTCCGCCTTGCCAACTCTTCGCCAAGCTCTTCGCCAACTTCCGAGCTCAGTGCGCACCGATGGACCTCAACCTGGACCTGCCAAGCTCAGTGTCCACCGCTGGACCTCAATGTGGGACCTTCCCAGCTCAGTGTGCACCGCTGGACCTCAACCTGGGACCTTCCCAGCTCAGTGCGCACCGGTGGACCTCAACCTGGGACCTTCCCAGCTCAGTGTGCACCGCTGGACCTCAACCTGGGACCTGCCCAGCTCAGTGTGCACCGCTGGACCTCAACGGCCAGATAGAATGCCAGAAGATATGCCAGATAGAACGCTATAAGATATGCCGGATAGAATGCCAGAAGATATGCCAGATAGAATGCCAGAAGATATGCCAGATAAAGTGCCAGAATGATTGCCAGAAGATTTGCCAGATAATATGCCAGAAGATATGCCAGATAGAATGCCAGATAGAATGCCGGAAGATATGCCAGAACATATGCCAGGTAGAATGCCAGAAGATATGCCAGATAGAATGCCAGATAGAATGGCAGATAGAATAAAGTGCCAGCATGTTTGCCAGATAGAATGCCAGAAGATTTGCCAGATAATATGCCAGATAGAATGCCAGAAGGTATGCCAAATAGAGTGCCAGATAAAATGTCAGATAGAATGCCAGAAGATTTGCCAGTAACAAAATGTATAAATGTCATGGTGGGGATCACACGAAGTAAAGTAATTTTAAGCACAGTAGAGAGTTATCATTAACAACCCATTATTGGTTGGTTAAATTCGATAAAAATCACCATAAAATCCACTATCCCTCAAAAAATGCGTTTGAACAGGAACATTTGTGATGATACACTGTTAAAAAATGAGAGTATTCTATTTTCAGAGAAACCCAGATGGTGATTGGCAGTGTCTGCTTGGTGGTTGAGGTACCCTAGGTAGCCTCAAAAAGAAAATATATTTCCAAAGGGATTTCCATGGTTATAATAATGATTAATCCAAAAATCATTACTGCTTGGTGGTGCGTTTCAACCATCTTGAAAAATGATGGAGTTCGTCAATGGGAAGGGTGACATCCCATATATGAAATGGAAAATAAAAGATGTTTGAAACCACCAACCAGTATACCTGAGCTGTGTCCAAAAGGTCTTGCTCTTCTGAAGGCGCGAAGGGAATGCTTAGCAGCCTGCGCGCTGCTTACGCTCGCGCAGTTTTTGCTTTCGCGCAGGAATAGCTTACACTGATGCTTACCCAGGCTTACGCACACCAGGGTTTTGCTTACGTGAGGTCCCAACCTCTTACTAAAAATGAATAAGGGGGTTTTGGACGTGGCTCACCTGAGATGCCAGCCATCATTGGGATGCTTCACCTATAAATATTTACCATCATTTATGGTGAGATTGTTCTGAGGTCACTACTATTTCAACACCGAAAAAATCCGAACCGGTTAACCTCTGGAAAGCTAAGTCGGCGATGGAACATGGCCCTATTGACCTATTTCGATGGTGATGTTCCATAGCTATATAAAATTACCAGAGGGCAATCATCATGGTTCCTCCTTTTATGCCATACTATGGAAAAAACTGCACCAGTTTCTAGATGGAATATCCCATTCTAACACCCTCTGGTTATTTAACATAGCCATGGAAAATGGCCCATTTATAGATGTTTTTTTTAAGATTTACCTATTCAAAATGGCAATTTTCCATGGCCATGTTAAATAACCAGATGGTATAGTGTA